ACCTCCTACATTTTCAACGTGTCAGCCGATGTGAATGGACGCGGCAGGGTATGCGAGATGAAGGAAAAGGAAAAGGGGAAAAGCGAGAGTGTTACGTACCGTAGGATGACGCCAGACATGACCTGCAACGTCCACAGCATGACTGTCAGGGCCAGGAAAGCACCGACGACGATGAGGTCGGCCTTGCCACGCGCCAGACGATGCACACGCGCCGTCGTCTTCTTCCAGCACGGCGTGTAATCGGCGTAGAGGCCCTTGAGCATCTCGCCCGTGGTCGACCCCGACAGGGCGGACCCCGTCTTTGCCTGCGTCGCCCAGAACTTCTTCGTCTTGGCAACGCCGCTGGTGACCTCGATGACTTGGACGACCTCGGCTGGCTTGATGGTGGCCGCGTCCACTTCGGCGATGGCTTCGTACGCGGGGGAAGTGATGCGCCACGGCCACGGGCACCGCCGATACCACGGGCGTGCCGTCGTCCTCCACGTCGACAATGACCATGATGGCATCCCTTGCCCTTGGAGAGGGCCTGCAGGAAGGCTGTGTGCAGTGCCGCGTCGCTGTGAGATCCTCGGATGCCGGGACCGTGCCGGACGGTGTCAAGGGCCGGTTGTCAAAAGGCGGATTCCGGATTGAGGCTGCTGCGGTTCGAGTCAAAAGTCTGGTGTTTCGCCGGTCTTGGTTGAATCGCCTGGAATACCCTTGTGACCGGAACGCTACGAGAGCTGAGGCCCTCGGGTAACACGAGATCCTCCCATGACTGCGGGACAGGAGCTGCGAGGCCCAGTTGGGTCACGCCAAGCGCCAAGAGTAATGATACCGTCCGCATTTTGCTTTGTGAGGGTTGAAGAGCGAGTTGAGGACGAAGACGGTTGGCAAGGTGGCAGGGGGTGGCCTTGTTGAAATAACAAGGGGCGACAGACCGACTCGGGTGAATCACTCTTCAAAGTCGTGCAAAGAAGCGTTCTCTCTCTCAGAGGTAGATACCGTGGTGTGTGTAATGTGGAGGTCGAAGTCCCGGGCTTTCGGTTTGGGAAAGGGCTGACTATGTAGATTGGGTTCTACGATCTAGAACTCTGGTTCACCGTATGCAAGTTGGTTGCATGAATGGCCGATGGCAGGCTGGTTAAAGGCGCCGCAGGAGTGCAGGTGTCCGGAAGAGGAAGTTGTGAGGTGGTGCGGGGTGTTGTGGTGCGAATGGGTGCTGCCCGTGGCCCAGGCGATGCAAAGGGCGATAGTGCAGGTGGTGTTGCTCGAGCCGTATTAGTCGCGAGGGTGGTGGTGGTG